CCAAACCGCTCTGTGATTCTATGAATTCCCCCTTAAATGTGATGACATCTACCACACAGTCAAGATTCCCAGGCATCAGAGACAAAACTGCTGGTCTCTTTCCCCCCCCACCCCCTTTGTTCTAATTACATTTTATTTTTGAGAACAAATACAACAAGCTAGCTGTTAAATCAGCAGATCCAGACCTGCAGGAATTAGAGCAGCAACGTGTGCTACAGAGGTGAAAGGAGAAGCCACTTTTATGGATGCCTATTTTTAAGTGTAAGGGCATGACTTCAAAATGTCCTGAACTTGCCTGCAATTTCAGAAGATGGCTTGGGATGCGTTTAGAAAGACAGCAGTAAGCCAAAATACTGCTGCATCCATTTGGACAAAGCTGCTTTGGCTACCACAAAACTACAAGTACGTGCTAAAGTTCAGGTTTTAGCTATCAGCTGTTTGCAAGGACAAGAAGGCAAATCTCATCAGACCACTTCAAAAGACTGCTCCTGCCAGTAGGCACGTGTAACAAAAATATTTATTTACTCTCCTTTGAATTTCTTCATGCATAGCATTATCACCACCTGGACTTTGCACTCATTCATACAATGAGCAAAATGAAGTGTTATTGCTCACTGAAGGTATGAGCCTCAAAATACGACAGGAGTATGTTTCACAATTCTGCTGAGAGCCAGCAGCACTTAGCTCACAGTAAGGTGTCAAATACCAGGAAGATAAACACTTCTTTTCACACTGCCAAATAAAAATGCAGCTGTACGCACGTATTAGACACCCATGAATACCACCATTTTTTCCCCAAAAACTTTACCTTGAGGGCAGAAATACTTATGGCTTGAACATCACCTCCAAACTCTTCACAGACCACATCGTGAGCCAGCAACTCCTTCTTTACTCTTTCAGGATCAGCTTCCGGTTTGTCACATTTATTAATGGCAAGGATAATAGGAACTAAAAAGAGAACAAATTCATTACCAACCCAACCAAAGTTTGCTGTTGCTAGCACAATTGCAACAACAGGCTGTGACCTCTTAGAACGAATCATCTCACTTGCTGCCTATTCCCTGAGTGGCCGCTGAGATCTCAGCCACCACAAGTAAGCTGGAGAAGTTATCCTAGTAGGGAAGGGAAAATACCCCCAGCAGTAACTCCCCACACACCCCCTATAAGTGCTTTCCTCACCAACCTACAAGTCCTACAAAAACATGAGTGTTTTCTGTATTACTGCAACATTCAGTATATTTTCAAACACCTTCCCCGGGGAGAGGGAATGGGATGCTGACAGTTACTTGCCAAGTTCTGTGGATTCCAATTCAAGGAGTTTCTTTCGGGAGGCGAGTAAGTGTTTGCAAAGTGCTCATGATCTGAGCTGTGTAGTAACGCACACCTTGTGTAGTGACTGTGTGAACTGGGCTTGCCACTCCCTTCAAAGTGTAGTAATAACAAGTTAATGCACTGTACCTCCTGCATTTTTAGCATGTTGAATGGATTCTATAGTTTGCTGCATCACTCCATCTTCTGCCGCTACAACCAGTATGACGATGTCAGTAACTTGGGTACCTCTTGCTCGCATGGCCGAAAAAGCCGCGTGACCAGGAGTATCTAGAAAAGTTATCTTTTCCCCCGAAGGCAAATGCACTGTGAACAAATGCAGATGGTACGGTCTAGATCAGCATTTCACATAGCTTTACCTGACCTACTGTAAATGAAGCATTGCTCCTTTGAGAACTTATTTAAACGACATATTTTAGGCAGACAAGTAACTGTTGGCACGGAGGTCAAAGGTGCTTTTAACTCCTCAGAAAGTACTAGTGTCCTGCGTTCTTTCATAAATCAAAATAGTCCAAATACAATTCCAACTGCACCGACAATCTATTTCAAAGTCCCATCCACATACTTACAAGGGTTATCACAAGCTATGACTTCCTTTTTCCTGAAATGTTTATTTTTTCCCAGTGAACTGGCAGCAAGTCAGCCCGTTATGCAACTCAGAGCTCTACACACACGTGCGCACACGTGAATCATACCAAGGAAAGCACCGATGTGTTGCGTAATGCCTCCTGCTTCCATTGATGCCACCTGAGTTTTTCGTAGACTGTCAAGTAAGGTGGTTTTCCCATGATCGACGTGGCCCATGATGGTAACAACCGGGGGCCGCGGGGTCAGTACTGCTGGGTCTGCAGGAGGCCTACAATTAAAACAAAAACGTGGTTTGTACATACTGAAAAAGCTCCCGGCACGACATTCGTGCCCACTGTGGCTAACGGAGAGCTCTTCACCAGAACTCGGTGATGGATGGGGTAAGCCTGCTTCTCCCACCGGGATCACCAATCCTAGCTTCACCGCACAGTATTACTGCTGCTAGTGCAATTCAGTAAATCAAAAAGAATTAGCTTTCCTTCAGGAAACGGCACAGAAAAAGCTCACCTAAACCAAATCAAATCGAGTACCAGTTTTATGGTCAAAAAAATCAAAATATTAAACTTGACCTTTTAATTATTATCAGATTGTGACTGTATCAGGTATCAGCAACTCCTGTCAGAACAAAGAAAATACAGCATATGAAAAACACTTGCACAAAGAGGATAGAAAGAGCCGAAAAGAGCAGTTCACGGCGTACCTTTTCACAGCATCTGTGTTTTCTCTTTGTTTTTCCTTTTTCAGTTTCGCCGATTTATACTTCATTCCTGATTTATTAAGAACTAGCTTAATAAGGTCTTCATGTAAGATGGAATCTGGTTCTACAGAATCAAGGTCAATATCTGTGTACAGCAGCGCTTCATATATGTGATCTGAAGAAAAGATAAAGGCATTTAACAAAAATATGTGGGACAAAAAAACTCCACCCACTTCACACAGTTTGACTTTTTCATTAGTAGTTTATATTGTGCTAGTAAGTTTCATTCACCAAACATTTTTCCTTCAGTTAGATGTGTCTCAAAGTTCCTGTTACACTACATAGTTGCAGAGATCTTGACTCCAAAATACTTACTGAAAATAACTGCCTTGTTAGATGCTACAATCTTATTTTTCACTCAGATTTTTCAGTTTATTTTTCCATTAACCCCTAAGAAGAAAACAACTGAAGCTCATCTAAGCCAAAGAGCAAAGAAGTGATTCAAGGAGGAAGGAAATGCAATAAACCTGTTCATATGCTACTTTCTTTGGTAGCAGAAATACAGAACATACTGCAGTGGTCAAAAACTGTTACACGCTGACCTAAGTACCATTACTAATCTAGCTCTTGGAGATGTGCAGTGAGACATGACAGACTTTCCTGCTTCTCTCTTCACTGCCGAGTGGGCAGTGTGCCAGCAAAAGTACCCAGCTGGATAAAAAGAGATTGGGAGAATCAGTATTATACAGGTATGGAGTTATTTCAAATGTCAATAGTCAAAACATGCTATTAACCCACCCAAAACATCACTGAGAACTGGCCAAGCTGAGCCACGATTCAACCAAGAATGGTTCACGGGGTTAAAAGAACAAGCCTGCTTCTGTAACGCAGTTGTAAGGGCAGTCACCGAGGGGAGTGTTTGTCCACAAGTCCTGCCCTCTCCCAGTTAATCACACGACTGTTTTAATGAAATACAACTTGCTCCTGAATCCAAGATTCCTGCTCCCAGGGTTTGGTCGTGGGCTGAAGCTCTTCTGCACCTTTTCAATTTAGCCACGAACTCTTTACTCAGAGGGTGCAGCTCTGAGAAACCAAGGTGCAATGCTTTTCCTTCCAGAGTAATTTAGCACCTGGGGGACACAGCGATAAAGAGCAGCCTACACAGATCTGGGTTCTGCTGGAGACGGAAGAGAGTCCTGGCTTCCTCCCATTAAAGCATCCTGCCTGGAAATCTGGACGGCCCAGCTTTCTCCCCTCTTTAGTCTGCCACTGTGCCTACCAACTTTTTCTTTGGTGTGGGTACAATCTACCTTGCTGAGGGAGGGATTAGCTACCACTAACTGACGTTGTCGTAGACATCTTTGCCTTTATCACTCATGAAAGCAGCACGAGGGATTTCAACTGTTCCAACCGAACAACGGAGCAGGCTCTCACCTATGTCTTTACCCATAGCCCGTGCAAGTTCCTCCACAGTCATCCTGTGCCTTATCTCCACTTCACCTTGTGTCAGTGCTATCTTCTTTTTCTTCTTTTTTGTCTCCTACATGGAATTAGACACGTATATAGGAACACATAGCTGGCATAAACTAAGAAATAATAAAAACAACATTAAAAAGGCAATGGTCTCCAGCCATATGATGTCAACACGTCTTGTTTTACTACAATACTAATGAAGTACAATAAACAAATGACTTATCACACTGAATCTTTAAAATGTATAGCATACTATGCAAACTTTTTTCAATTGTTCCAAACAAGGGGGGGAAAAAACAAAATCAACAAAAACAATTTTCACTTTTGTTTGTAATAATTTCCTCCTGCCTCTACAAGATTCAGGACGCTGCTGGTATCAGCACTTTAAGTCATTATTTGAGAGGGATCCAATACAGCCATACATGAAGTACATTTTGTCTTGTAAGTTTGTAATAAATTCTCTATATACATTAATAAAGGTCCTTTTTTTTTTGTAATTAAAATGCTCAAATTGAGTTCTTGTACTTTGAAATTCCACATAAGTCCAGAGACCTTAGATTTTGCCAATTACCTCCTTTGTAGCGAGCTGTCTGTGCTGCGTTAAGGCAACACTGACCAATCTGTCCTTTTGCCAGAACCACGGATACAGCAGGACGGACCGCACGGGATGCGGGGATGACTGCACAGGCTTCCATTGTGCTCTGTAAACTTTTCTGTAGGAGAGAGTACGCAGCTGTCTGCAAGCGCCGCGTAACCGGACCAGGTTTTCAAACTTTCGCATCAAGCCTCGATTCATTTCCTTGCTGAAAGTACAAAGGACACATTGAAATCAGTCTCAAAGCTGACGGATACCCTTTGCTGTGATAACATGGACAGGAACACAAGGCACAAATGTTATGTTTCAAAACACCCTTTTTATTGCTTAACAAGTTGAACTATTTAGTGGGCTTCACCTTTTTCCACTATCCCACTGCATACATACAGATCTACTAATATCCCCATAGTTTACAAGTCTTTCACCTATCCCCACTGGTTTATAATATGAACTCGCAAAACCCCCATTTCGGGCTCTCTGACACTACCTAGATAAAAAGGGACATTTGCACTCCTCATACTACACTGGTAAGAGTTATCCCACTGCAACCTACCTCTCCAAGCCACTCAAACACATTTCCAAAATGCTGCTTATATGAGCATATACCACCACTAAAAGACTGTAGCGTCGTAGTAATGCCAGTGTTGTCACATGGACAGAGATGTCCTTTGAGGCTAAGCCCTGGCTTAGCAATTCAGCTTCCCAAGACGCTTCTGACAGATCATCCCACACCTTGTTTTAACCACCTTAACTTTGGTTTGAGTCATTCCACTATGTATCCTGTACAACAGCCCCCTGTCTGAACTTTTCTTCTTGTTCAGAGCTGCCTATTTTGCCCTGCTCGGGGATGCCGTTCTCTGTACCTTCTATGCCTCCTCTCAAAGGCGGCTTTGTACCATCTTCCATGCAGTTCCCAAGGAGTGAAACGCTAACAATTCCTCCCAGAATGAGTGCGGTCCTTTAAAACCTCTCTCGTATCCGGATCCCTGCAGGAAGTGAGCAGACAAAATAACCAACCAAAAACAGCTCCTTTTTTTTTCCTCTCCCCTAAAGAGAGCTTTAAAGGGGCAGAATCGGTACAACCGAGGAAGCCCCAGGCGCCGCCACAAGACGCTGCAAACCAGCACAAGGTCAGGGCGAGAGCGGCCAAGCTCCCAGAGAACCCCACCGAAGCTGCCAACGGCAAAGAGCCCCCCCCGGCTCTCGGGCCCGCGGGTCAGTGGCCGGGACAGGCGCACCCCTCTGGGTAGCACTGCTCTTACGCACCTCGCGTGGCTGCTACTGCAGAGAAGCCATCAGGCTACGCAGCCCTGCGGCCTAACACGCTACGTCCACGCCCCCGG